AGACTATTTGAGTATAAAATGTTAAATTAGTATTTGCCTAAAACTTTACCCCCAAATTACATTGTCAAACAACAAACACTGTCCTCCTGTTGTTCATCTATTTGCTCGAGTGGGCCCAGTAACATCTCTATTTTGAGACTTGTTGTTACTGTTTTTGGCATATTGAATACATCACAGGTAGCTTGCCAGGCTTTGCTACGCAGGCGAGACACTCTAGGTCGCTTGCCGACTCTCGGAGAGGGGCGGAGGAATCGAACCTGGCTCAGCCAGGCTGGCTGCGCCAAGGCAAATACCCTATCCGCTGTGCTATCGCTCCAGCCCCCAAATTACAAATCAATGAAATTATTAACAATCATTTCAATGTAATATTAAATGTTTAATTGCACACATTAATAATTTTTGAACTTTCACTTAGCTCCAGACTCAAGAAATGCTAATAATTTCTGACATGAGTGTTAAGCTCGAAAGCATTCTATGGTTCTGATGTCCCTGAAACGCAGGGAAATGCAGCTGACTTGGTTTCTCCACGTCTGTGATAAATACTGGGAAAGCTGACCTTTCTCCCTGGGGGAGGAGAAGGTAGAGCTGATGACAATGACGAGAAAGGGGTAACTCTCCCCCTTTCCCTTCCTGTTTTAGTTGTTGCTCGGGACAGAGGGGGGTGGGGGGAGGCAGGGGACTGGGTGGTGGTACTTGCAGCGGCTCATGTACTAGCTGTGAGGTTTACAGTGAAGTTGTACACAGAGTTCGCTGTGTCCCCAGAGATCAAAGACGGCAGTTGACCATGATTACAGTCTGTGTGGTGTTGGTGTTGTTGTGTCGGGGGGGCGGGGGCGCACACACGCTCTGCAGGGCAGAGATCTGATCCTCGGGGTCTTACCTGAAGACCTGTGCTCTGCAGTGCTCTGCCCTTGAACTGCATCTGCAGGTCCTGAGCAGATATTTTGTTTTAGGCACTTATTGGACTGGAGAGATAACTTAAAAGGCTGGAGCACATACTTTGTTATACAGGAGCCCTGGGTTCAATTCCCAATAACACAGTTCCCTGTATACTGCTCCGAGTGTCCCCTCAGAATCTAAAGCTAAATCCAAACATTCTTTGTAAATATGCAGTGCAGACACTGATGAATTATGCTGTAAAAATTAAACCATACAACCTGAACCCCACCTTTTAGTGCTTCCACTATACTTAATTTAGGGGTTGGTAAAAGATTACTTGAATTTTTGAGGTAGGATATAGTTATAGTGACTTAGATGGTGTAATGAAGTTTATAAAAAGAAAGATGAACTCACTCTTGATAACACTGCAGTGGCAGAAAGATCTGTGTAGATGTATATAATTAAGTGTTGAAAGTTTAAATGCACTTGGCAATCTGGAGGTTATTTCTATAAAAATTCTAATGAATGAATTAAACCCTGCAAGGCAGAGTTTCTCAACCCTGATTAAACCTAAGATCTTATAGGTCCCCTTGAGAGTGTATGAAAAATTTTACATCTGTGTTTATACGGAAGGATAATTTCCATCTGTGAACAGAAGGTCCCAGGCCGGAGTCCTGGGGCAAGACTTGACTGGAGTGAATGAAGAGGCCCCTTGTGACAAGCACTAAATGAAGAGTCTGAAGAGAACTGACACCTTCCAGCTAGGAATAAAGCAAATTAAAGTTTAACCACCAAAGGTGATAATTTAGACTAATTCTGTGAGAGGAGTATCTGGAGGCAAAATAAAGGGCCAAAGGTAGACTAAGGTACGAAGAGAAAGAAAAGCAATTAGTGAGAGATACGGAGGAAAAGCAGATAAATGGGAGTCCATAAGGAGAAATTTTTATGTGGGGAGCCAGTTAACTATACGATATTATTAAACATTCATAAAAGATGAGAATCTAGGGCCAGAGAGATAGTACAGTGGGTAGGGTGCTTACCTTGCACATGGCCAACTCTGGCACCACATATGTTCCTTCAAGCCATGCCAGAAGTGATCCCTGAGCACAGAGCCAGGAGTAAACCCTGAGCACCAGTGGGTGTGCCCCTGCCTTCCCAAAATAGATAAGAATCTAAGAAAGTTGCTGTTTGGGTTTTGCACATTGCCAGAATCTCACAAATCTTTTCCACTAGCCCAAACTGACTCAGTATTTTCAGCAGAAGAAATTTTTTCTATCTGGAAAAGCCAACTATTTGTGAAGAGTTGTCTTATTTATGAATACAGTTTGCTCCATTTCGTGTAGAATCTCCGGGAGGACATTACTAGGTATGGGGCTGGAGCAATAGTTCAGTGGAGAGGGCATTTGCCTTGCATGAGGCCAACCCGGGTTCAATCCCCAGCATCCCACAGGGTCCCCTGAGCACTGCCAGGAGTGATTCCTGAGTGCAGAGCCAAGAGTAACCTCTGAGCATTGCCAGGTGTGACCAAAACGTGTGTGTTTGTGTGTGTGTGTGTGTGTGTGTGTGTGTGTCCATGTGTATTATTAGCTAGGTGGAAGATATTCTCTTGTAGTAAAAGATGTTGCTCCGGGTGGATGGGTGTGGGAGGGATACTGGGATCCATGGTGGTGGGAAATGGGCACTGGTGGAGAGATGGGTACTTGATCATTGTATAATCGAAACCCAAGCACAAAAATGTACCTCATGGTGTTCCACTAATAGAAAAAAAAAAAAGATGTTGCTCTTCTTTCAGAAACTCACATTTGCCCCAAGATCCAACCCTTTTTATAAATATATGTCTCGGTTCATCCAGCAGAGAAGTGAGACTCTGATTTACTTTTAGAAATAGAAATAAAATTTCCATTTTTTAACATAGTTCAAGAACAATTTGATTATTTTGACTGCAAATTCTATTTTTTTTTTCTTAAGTGATCCTTTCCTCTGTCAGAATTCTGGGTGACTGCTAAGTGATCTATAAATGTAGTCAGACATTTTAAAGAAATTATCTTTTTGTTTGTTTGATTTATTTTTTAGTGATTTTTTTTAATGATATATACATTTTTGGCCACATCCAGCGATGCTCAGGGGTTACTCCTGGCTGTGCCTCAGGAGTTACTCCTGATGGTGCTCAGGGGACCACATCAGATGTCAGGGATTGAAATCGGTTGGCCACATGCAAGGAAAAAGTCTTACCTGCTGTGTACCATCATTCTGGCCCAAGAAATTATCTTTTTGGATTGAGATAATAACAGATAGAGAATAATATCCACAACGTCCACCTTTACATACAAAGCCCTAACGTGGAATAGCGCAATCTTGTGAGACTGGTGCGGGAAAGGACTGGGACGCACCTGTGAGAAGACCTGGCTCACTCGGTATTTGAGTCTGGACCACTCGGATGTTCTGTGCATGGTGCTGTGCATTGTGGGGAGTGCAAAAGACATTTTTGGGTCCCTCTTTACTTAAATGAAGATGTCCTTATTTTCTAAAACATTGCATTGTTCAAGTTTGTGTGTGTGTGCGTGTGCGCGCGCGCGCATGCGTGCACATGCATGCACATGCATGCAGCAGCTTTTGCGTGCACATTGAACAGTTTACACAGATCATTCAGGTGGGAACATGTTCTAAATGATCTGGAGTTCAGAGAAGAGAAATCACTTCTGCTTTACGTGATCAGGCACTGTCCAAGGGCAAAGTGCCATTTGAGCAGGATTTTGAAAGGATTGTTGGAATTTGACCAGGAATACAGTAACGCTTCAGCAAGCCCAAACTTTCTAGTTTAGATTAATTCAGAGTACCAAGCGTATGAGTTCAGCCAGTCAGCCAGATTAATTAACTAAACGCTCTAGTTATTAGCTTTCTAGTTAGATAATGAGAAGTAGGGCAAAATTTATCATTATTGGAGGGATTTTAGGAAAATTGAGACACTGATATGAACCTGCATTGTAAACTGTTAAGTGCTGCAGAATTTATAAATTTTTAGTAAACCTTGAAGATGGTATAAGTAAAAGACATGGATGTAGCAGAGAAAGTATTGGAGAATATTGACTCATATACAATTCCTTATCTTAACTTGACTCATATACAATTCCTTATCTTAACTATAAACACCTTTGGAGATTTCTCTTCACCTGTGTTCTTTCCCTTCTTTTCTCTCTCTCTCTCTCTCTCTCTCTCTCCATCACATCAGAAAATTCTTCATCTGCAGGTGAAACCTGTATGAGTTATACTACTAAGTTTCATTGCAGTCATATAAATATATACAGATTTATTTTAGTAAACTACTTTAATAGAGCGTACAATATTTCACTAAGATAGTTTGCATATTTTTCAAAGTAGATCAGTTTAGAAGACACTCATCTTGAAAAAGACATCTTGGTTAACCAAGGATAGGAATATTGTGGCTCTAAGTGGTAGAGTAAGTGCCTGCCATGAGCAAAGGTCCTGAGTTTGGTCCCTGGCATTACACAAGCCTTTCAGCACTACTGGCTACAGCCCTGGTGGCCCCAGCACTAGCAGGATTGAGCATTGCCAGAGTGGCCCGCCACAAACATCCAAAATAGAACACAAGGGAGCCCAGGAGGGAGCTCTGAGAACTGAAGCATGTGCCTAACGTGCACTGCATCCTAAGTTCCATCCCTGGAGCCCCTGTGTATGAGATTGGTATGCCCAGGAAGCCCCACACCACCAGGCCCAAGCAATTGAACTATCTGGGCATCTCCTGGAGTGCCCCAACAGCAGAACTGCCTGGGAGCAACACACACACACACACACACACACACACACACACACACACGAACAGAGGAGAGTACTTAAGCATAAAGAACATTGTTGAATTGCACTGAGTTATATGCCACTTTGTCCTGTCTGGTTGGGTTCTCTGTGTAACTGGACTCCAGTGAAATGTATTAGAATTTCTTCTCTACAGGCAAGGAACTTGGAAAACAGCATACTATTTTAACTCTAATTCTTATTCATTTGGAAAAAAAAAAGATCTTTGAGGGGGGAAAAAATCTTGAATCCATATAGTAAGGATATTTTATTTTGCAAATAATTCTAAATTTCTTTTTTTTTTTCCACAGACTATCTCGCTAATCATGGCCGGTTAAATGAGTCAGAGGCCCGGCGAAAATTCTGGCAAATCCTTTCTGCTGTTGATTATTGTCATGGTCGGAAAGTTGTGCACCGCGATCTCAAGGCTGAAAATCTCCTGCTGGATAACAACATGAACATCAAAATAGCAGGTACGGGGACAGAGCTGGCTCTGGCCTGAGGGGATGCGAGAGTGCATTCACTCAGTGTGTGTGGAAGCAGACCAGCAAGCAGATGTCCGAGCATCTCAAACCAGAGCATCAAGCTTTTTCCAAGTGTTTTCTTCATTTCCCTAGATCTGTGTGTAAGAAAAAGGGAAACAAGCCCATTATTCGTAGAATCTGATTTGTGCCCCAGTCCCTTTGTGGCAGTCTACTAGATGAGATGCTTTTGTCTGAACAGGAGAGTGACGTGGGGACTGTTTGAGCTAGAGAGAGCGTGGGTGCTGGTACTTGGTATATTTCACGTTCCTGATTACGACTGATGGCTGCAGAGAGGCCAGCTAGAGAAGAGACAAAGAGGGAAACAGAGGTAGAATGAACAAAGTTTGGGGTGCAAACGCTTCGCTCTGATAAAATGGGATTGTATTTCTAGTTATAAAAACCTTCATATTTTATATTCTAAGTTTCCTGTTCTCCACATGGTCAGAACTTTAATTCAGTCAACAGATACTTACATGCCAGGTACTTTCATTGATCCTAGGAATATAAATCAAAAAGTTATTTTCTCTGATCTTAGAAGTCTAGTAGGGAGAGAAGAATAATTAAAATGCAGTATGCTGGCTGCCCGAAAAATGCAACTAGAAATGTAATAGAAATAAATACAATACAAGAAAAATACAAAAAAGAACTAAACTCACCAACATACGTAACAAGATTCAAGTAACTAGACCAGAATATTCTCCCAAGAAATGAGCTAACCAGGTACTGCTGTTATGCATGTGGAAATTATATATAAATTCGACAGTATATATAATTCATTTTAATATTAAAGGAAAAAACAAAAAAAATACACTAGAAATGTAGGCGAAGGAACATTCACGTTCTTGAAGAGTCAGAGAAGCATCTGTTTGGCTTAGGCTTGAGAGATAAGTTAAAAGCTTACCGGGAATCGAATAAGTAAAAGTACAATATTGCAGACAAAGGCAAAGTGTCTAAATGCCACTGGCATGAGAAGGAATTGTGGTTGGAATGGACCCAGCTGCCACTCAGTGCTGGTTCACTGTTAAATCTATGAGTATGGGGGGTTGAGACAGTAGGAGCAGGTAGACAAGGACCAGCATGTGAAGGATTTTGAAGGCTGTGAACTGGATTAAGACTTCATTCTGTACAATTTTGCTTGTTGTGTCGAGTCTGCCCTGTTGACAGTTTAGGGTCGGAGTGGGGTGTAAGGGACGTCGGATAACACATTCATATTTGCATGTTAGAAAGATGTCTCTCTAGCCACACAGTAGAGGTAGGAGGGAGACGTGGTAATACTGCAGACAGGGAGATCAATATGGAGCCTGTTGCAGTGATCCAGTCTTGGAAACGTAGGGCTGAATGAGAGCAGCAGCAGCAAGGCTGAGGAAGGAAAGGAGATTATTTTGATGAAGATTTTGAAGATGATGCAGAGCATGAAGCAGAAGCTGAGCTTGCTTATCATCTGTGGTGTTGTGTTCTAGGATTGTTAAAGAGGAACAGAGAGCTATCCAACTTCTTTGTGAGAGAAGTGCACAAAGAAATTATGGACTGTCTAACTAGTTTGGATACTCACTGGACTCACTAGGTTTCAGGAGAAAGAAACTCTTGGATCTTTGGCCCCGTTGTGTAAAACAGAAATGAAAACCCTCTGATTGGTGCATTTAGCTGATTTCTTTGTATGCCGTTGACCACTTAATTATGTCTCAAGTATCTTGTGGAAGAAAAATATTTGTTACTTATCTTTGACTTTTACTTTAACTTAGTTTTACTTTAATTTCTTTTCAGTTTTTCACAAGTATTTCATTCTTTTTTTATTTTATTAAATCACAGTGAATACATAGTTGCAAAGTTATTCATGCATGAATAGCACTTAGCACTGTAGCACTGACCTCCCATTGTTCATTGCTTTGCTCCAGTGGGTGCAAGTAACGTCTCCATTGTGAGACTTGTTGTTACTGTTTTTGTCATATCTAATCCGTCAGGGTAGCTTGCCAGGCTTTGCCATAAGGGCAGGATACTCTCAGTAGCTTGCCGGGCTCTCCAAGAGGGGCGGAGTAATTGAACCTGGGTTGGCCTGGGTCGGTCACGTGCAAGGCATGAATAACTAGTTATAAAAGCCAGTATTATACATGTTTCAGAGAAATGTGAAGTTCCCTGAAGTTCCCTGAAATGTGAATTTCAGGGAATTCAGGGAAGGGATTTTCTGTTCTTGTGGTCTGTGATTTATTTTCTAATGGGATTGCCAAAATGAAGCAAAGTACTGGGGGAATGGTGAACTGGGGCCATCCCGGTGATATTCCAGAGACCGATTGTATCCCTCTCAGAGTCTTAGCCAGCAGTTCAGCACAATGGCCTGGGGTGCAGTGCAGGGATTCTCTCGGCCACCCCAAGTGGCGCCTGGCACCCCTTGAATCACCTTTTGGCAGTGCTTGGGGTCCCCTGGTGCTGCACTTGGATACACTCAGGGTCTACATCCAACCAGGGTTGTCCACATGCAAGATATATGCCATAACCCCTGCACTGTCGCAGGCCTCTAAAACAAGGTATTTTTGGAATTGGAGCTATAGCACAGCGGGTAGGGCGTTTGCCTTGCATGCGGCCAACCCGGGTTCAATCCCCAGCATCCCATATGGTCTCCCAAGCACCGCCAAGACTAATTATTGAGTGCAGAGCCAGGAGTATCCCCTGAACACTGCTGGTTATGACCCAAAAAGCAAAAAATTAAATTAAATTAAAAAATAAAACAAGGTATTTTCAAATTAATTTATCGTAGATCTATTATATACATGTAAAAATACCTACAGAGATTTGTCATTTTGAAACTGCAGTTCACAGAATTAGTGTTTCCATAGTTTCTTATATGTGTTCGCTTTTCCTGCTTGTGGGTTTTTTCATTATTTTGGTCCTTTTGCCTGGTCTCATTCATTTCACTCCTCTGTGCCAACCTTCTGTAGTGCACTTCACACAAAAAGTTTTGTTTGTTTGTTTACTTCTTTAAAATTTCAGCTGCTCAGGGATGGAGCAGTAGTACAGTGGGTAGGGCATTTGCCCTGCATATAGCTGACCTGGGTATGATCCCTGGCATCCCATTTGGTCTCCTGAGCATCACCAGGAGTGCAGAGCCAGGAGTAACCTTTTAGCATCACCAGTTATTGACCCCAAATGACCCCTCCAAAAAAAAATTTTTAATTAAAAAAATAAAACATTTACTGCCCTACACTTAACTCTCCTTAGAAAGTGCTCTCGTGTTTTGAAGTCTGTGACCACACGAAAAAGGTCACAGACCTTTGCTTCACTCTCACCTTCCTTTATGGCCAAAGCAGCAACTTCATGGAGCTCTAGAAATCTCACTAGGGAGAGAACGGTGAGACATGTGGGTGATATGCAGTAGGAATTACAAAGTGCCCTGTCCCTGACATCTTAAGAGAAACTGCCAAACACCAGAGAAACTTGTGAACTTCCTTTAATCTTACCGCCAAGCTTGCCTGACTCTCATGTACCCACCGTAATTCTGGCTTATAAGTAGGTAGACTCAGTATTTCTAATGTCATACCTACATATTTTTCTCTTGCTATTGAATTTTTGCTTTTGAGTATTGAAATGTCAAGGTTTAGATATTGTGTAGCAGATAGGCAAATGCCAGGTGTCTCTAGTTCTTTTCTGGGTTAAACTAGTCTAACCGCTTGCACTCGCTGAGCTTTCTCTGTTTTCAGGTTCTCCGCTCAATATTTGTCTCTCTCAGCAGCACTGGTTTGCTGCATTCCCCTTGGCAGTCTTTAGCTGAAACACTGAGAGATTCAGTGACTCGCTAAGGTGACACCAAGCCCAGACCTGGAATTCAGGGTGAGACTCCCCGTGTCCGTGGTATCTGTGCTGCTTGGACTGCATTGTGCGGCTGTTTCCCGGCATTACTTGGAACGATTCTGTGGTTCGGTGCTTCAATGGGGCATTCTCTCACAGGGCTCCATCCTTCTGTATTTACACATTAGTATGCTAGATTCCCTTCCTCACTAGTGGACACACTGCTGTGCATGCAGATGTTGTCTCACTCATATTTTTTTTTTTTCAGTCAGCTTCAATATTATCAACCCCAAAGGTTCAGAAAAAAATTTTTTCAGCATCAACTGTATGCCTGGGCTTAGTTCAGATATTCCAAGACAAAATGGAAACAAACGAAAAAACTCTCTCCACAAAGAATTCATCACAATCAGACCTTTACATAAATATGATACAGAAAGATAATTGTACAAGGCTATGAGATTCAGACAAAGACTGACAGCCAGGAAGAATCAGGGAAATTATTGGTTAAGAACTTGATTAAGAAGGAGACATTTCTAGTGAGATGGGGTTGGAGAGTAGGGCCCAGGGTGGAGAGAGTGTTTGAGGGTGAGGCAGGGATGGGCTGATTCATCCTTAGGTAGGGGTGCATGTTGATGCATCATAAGCAAATGAATCAACGTATGCAGCCAGACAGGCCAGAGAGAACGCCAAATGCAGAGGAATGCTGCAGGCCTGAACTGGTAGAGCATGAGTACTGAAAGGAGAGATTGGAAAAGAGCCTGGACAGATCCCCAGAGCCAGATCATGAAAGGACCACAGGCCATCAAATGTTTAGATGTGCTCCAGTGTGGCTGAAGAATCTCTTTCTGGGGCCAGAGAGATAGTACAGTGGGCAGGGCACTTGTCTTGCAGACAGCTGACTAAGTTCAATCCTTAACCCCCTATGTGGTCTCTGGAGCCTGCCAGAAGTCATCCCTGAGCATAGAGTCAGGAGTAAACCCTGAGCACCACCAGATGTGACCCCCAAGAAATCATAAAACAAAACCAGAAAAACAGAAAATCTCTTCTTAATATTTATCTTTACCTATAGATTTTAGAACATTTTTGTAATCCTGATTTCCTTTAAAAATATCGATGTTTGGGGCTGGAGCAATAGCACAGTGGGTAGGGCGTTTGCCTTGCATGTGGCC